AAGGATGCATTGGAAAAGTGTGTGGTAGTGGGGAGGATGGGGCGGGGGTGGACATGTGGCAGGGAGGTTGGGGTGAGGTGGTGGGGTAGTGCAGGGCTTCTGCTTTGTGTGCGTTTTGTGGAGTGTAAAAAAGGCAACATGCCCTTAAAAAAACCTGCAGCAAAGCTGACCCAAGGCTTCGGAGATGCCACTCACCGTAGCAACAGCTCCTTTGGCAGCTTCTTATTGATGACCGCCTCGTCACTATTTGTGAACATCTGAAACGAAGCAGAGGAGAACATCAGTCCTGGCAGCCTGTCTCAAAGTGACGCGGGCCCCTTCCATCCACACAGACAGGAACAAATGATGGTGATCTCATCATCTCCGATGGATTCTTACGGCAGTTCTTTCAAACAGAGACTGAAGATAAAGCAGCAGCTCAGCTGGACATTGTAAGCCGGGATGGCCTTTGCTTTCTTATCTTTTACACATGTGTATTTTCTAACAGCTGAGTGACTTACACGATCGAGTTTGCACCACATCAGCAAATACTGACAGTCTACACATCGAAGTCAGCTGCATCGTTTCTGTGGCGACAAGTTTCTGCAAGCAGCTAATAGATTTCCAACAAAAAAATAAAGCCTGCTAGCTGTGCAAGCACAAATTAAAATCTATAATCTGCAGGAAAACAAAGAGCTCAATGTACAAAAAGATAAATTAAGGTTTATTACAGCTGCAGACGCGCACACGCCCATTTACCCAAAAGTGAAGTTTACCTATAGTTTGTGGGCAGTCATCAATCTCTACTAGACAAGATAATAACGTTTGGGAGCATCCTCGGATGAAGCAACATCTGACTCCATCCATTTTCCCCACCACAGACTTGGAAAAATAAATCTGAACCAGTGTAAATAAAAATGCAACATAATTTACAATCCGTGACAAGGCTTTTGGAAATCCTCCTTCATTAAACATATCACCCGTCCACGAATCAAAAATAAATCACGCGTTTATTCATTGTCTCTAAACAAAAGGAAGAACTTGCAGCACAATTTTAATTATGGGTGTTTATCCAAAACCGCACAATGGCATCAATTTACAGTGACTTTTAACGAAATCATTCATCAGCTCAAAAAGCAAACGGACATGTCTGCTTCGTGCGCTGAAAAGAATTTGTGGACCTTTAAAGAGCCAGTGAGCCTTGGGTCGCAGCTTTTCTCCGTCTCCTTGATAAAAACACACACTCTCTGCCCTCACACAGCTGTCTACAAACACGCTGCCTGCCAGGGAAGACGTGTCAAGTTTTCAGGGAGAAAGGAGGCACAGACAGCCGCTGTTTGGATTTGGGGCAAAACCGGCCGGGTCAGAACGCTGCTCTCCGCCCAAATAATCCAGGGCCACTTCCAGGGAGGCAGATGTGCGTGTGTAACAGGCGTACAGCGTCCCCTTTCTGTAAATCCAACGTAAAACGGACCAGATTCTGCACGAATTTAGGCATTATGTTTCGGTCACTGGTCAACTAGAATCGGTGATGCAAGCCCGACAGAAGGCTGAAAAAAAATTATTTAAGTTACAACCTCCAGATGAAGATGAAAATAAAACATACAGATGCTCTAAAAATTAGAATATTGTGAAAAAGTTCCATTTTTTTCATCAGTCATTTCAGAAAGTGAAACTCGTATGTTACATAAAGGCTTAGAATATTTAACCGTTTCTTGTCATTTTCATGATTATAGCTTACAAATAAGGAAAAAACGGGCGGCACGGTGGATCAGTTGATAGAGCTGTTGCCTCTTGGCGAGAGGGTTACCAGATCGAATACAGGCTGGAGGCCTTTCTGGGAAGAGTTTGCATGTTCTCTCCATGCGTGGGTTCTCTCCAGATACTCCAGTTTCCTCCCACAGACCCAAAACATGCATGTTAGGCTGATTGGTAACTCCAACTGTCTCTAGGTGTGAGTGAGAGAGTGAATGGTTGTCTCGTGTCCCTCTGAGGGACTGGAAACATGTCCAGGGTGTCCCCCGCCCCTCGCACAGCGACTGCTGTACATGGGCACCAGTGATCCCCGTGACCCGAAAAGGAAGAAGCGAGTAAAGATAATGGATGGACAATGAAAAACAGTGCTCAGTCTCTCAAAAAAAATATTCCACAGACAGCTTTTGGTACGTTGGGCAGGAGCCAAGTCCTGCTGGAAAATTAAATCAGCATCTCCAAAAAACTTTTCAGCAGAAAGAAGCATGAATTCTCTAAAATGTCATGGAAGATGCTGCGTTGACTGTGGCCTTCAGAAAACACAGTGGACCAACACCGGCAGAGGACATGGACCAAAACCACCTGAATGCGGAAACGCAACTCTGGATTTGAAGCAACGTGGATTCTGGACCTCTCCACGCTTCCTCCAGACTCTGGGACCTTGATTTCCAAATGACCAGAACATTTACTTTCATCTGAAAAGAGGACAGTGGACCAATGAGCAACAGTCCAGTTCTTTGTCTCCTCAGCAGGTAAGACACTTCTGATGTCGTCTCTGGTTCAGGAGTGGCTTAACTTGAGGAATGAGACATTTGTAGCTCATGTCTAGGAATTATTCAGCTGATTAGAATGTGACACCAGTTTACAATATTTAACCTCTTAACAATATTCTAATTCCTTGACTGATGAAGCCTTCTGGATCAAAAGCGAAACGTTTCAGCACAAAAAAAAAAAAGAAACTGTCCAGATGACCTGACTGAAAAATGTTGAATTTTATACCTGGATTATTGAGCATG